TGTGTGGGTGGGATTATGTTCTGGAAAAGAATGTGTGGGTGGGATTATGTTCTGTGTAAATTAGTGTGGGGGGAGGTCTTACCTCAGTGCCACTTGGGATTCGGGCCAGCAAACAGCTTCCCTCCCACCCGCCCTATTAGTATATTTAGTCACAGCTAGCTGGGGGTATGTCCTTGCCAACTGAGTTATGTTTAAGTATATGGAATGAGATGGACAAGTTTTTAAGGTCTCAACCTCCCCTGCTTCAAAGGGTTAACCTTAGGTTACCTGGGATGTCGTACCCATCGAGCGTGGATAAGGTCGGCAGATGGCTGGCACTGGAAGGAAATGATTTTTAATATGAGGGGGGAGGTGAGAGGAAGTGGTACATAGGCGCATGGTCAGTTTATTGGCAAGGACGGTTGGGTTCACTGTATGACACTGTGTTAAGTTATATGCATATATATGTTAATTTATGATTATTTATGTTTAACGTTTTGGTTACAGAAATGAAGAGAAATTTATTAAATACATTATGGATGTGTCATACAGTATTTGTCATATGGTATAACAAATGCTGTGGCCTGTTTCATCCATACTATGTTGTCTGTCATTATTGTGGAAGGGGGATAATTTGGGTTGGTTTATGTATAATGCTGCATCGCGATACCCCACTACGTACATACATGCAATGGTGGGCATCAAAATGGCCCATTTTAAGTGTCAGTTTTAAAATGGCACTGCGTTACTCCCACATAGAGTCATTTCAGTGAATTAATGGATGACATTCTATTACAGGCTATACATAGAGGGAACACAAACAGCTATGCTCACAGTTGAAAGTGACAAAGCAAAAAAAACTGCAAAACGCAGCATGTGATAGCACATGGCGTGGTGCCATTTTCAACAGTTACTGGTGGGTGAATGGACTCCTCTTCTTAGCCCCGTGGACATCTTGGATGGCGACATAATAGTCTTCATGTGCATTTACTAGTGACTTGACCATAACCACGACTTCTGGATTATAAATTCACTTTAAAAACTAGATGTAGGGATTATGTTTAAAGAATGTTGTTGTTTTTATTAGGTATTATGATTAGCCTATGTAATTGACATACAGTCACACAAGTCCCACTTTTACCCTCCTGTTTCCATTTTAACTCCTCTTAAGCTCCATTTTGGAATCCCCATTGAATTTGTAAATAGCAGAGTTGACACACTATTAAAACCTCTTGCCCAGCAGTGAATTAAAGTGGCATTGACGGGAGGCACTATACTATGGAGCTCAGCTGGTTCATATTTATATAAGTAAATGTTTCAGTACTTACCTACCCTAAGAAACAATATATTCTAGTATCCTGTCCTCTTCATTTTTTTAAATGTCAAATCAAACAGAAGTATTCAGTAAATCAATGTTTTTTTTTTATTTTTTTTCTCAATTCTGGCTTAAAATGTAATATCGTCAGGTAAATTCCTGACAATTCATAGTGAGTAATAACATTTAAATCATATATAATTCCTGAGATCAAACTCCCTGTGCACTTGTGCAGCAGTAATGACTCAGTTTAAACTATAGTTTGGGGTGTATTCACTAGAGACTGAATTGCAGCAATTTGAAATCCAAATTGTGAACTGTATACATGAATTGCTAATTAGGAAAACATTGCAGCTGAGGACTAACCGCTGCTATGGTTAAGTTATTTTTGTGTAAATTTTGCAATTCCTTTTAATGCAATTAAGAATTTAGCCATTAAACCATTGTACTATTTTAAATCCTTTTTTAGTATTGTTTTCCTAACTTAGCTATTCTGAGAATTTATAAAAACATCAACTAAAAACCATATTGTTGGGTATACTTTGGATGACAATAAAATGATGTTATTACCGCAATGCTACATTATGTTCTTTACAGATTGGTGATAAGAAGAAATTAGAAAGAGTTATTAATTCAGATGTCTCACTATCTATCTCTCAGCGGCTGTCCCTCCTCTTCGTGCCCCACGAGGACAGAAGCTCTCAATCTCAGGTGAGGAAGGTTCCTGCTCAGTGATTGAGGTAAAGAGTCTCCATTAAGTCCCCCAGGGTAGACAAGGAACAATTCGATGGAGGCAAGCTGTTACAGTGAAGAAGAGGGCACCTCGTTTAACCCAAATTCCATCGATGCTTGTCCTCATCTGTCTCCTGTCACTTTCTGTTCCACGTTCATCTCTTCATATTTCACAGTCGGCATAGCTCATCGTGGCCTGTTTTATAATCTCTTGGATTTCTCTGCTCATCATATAGAGCAAAGACAGTTACATTTAATATCACTCCTTAAAATATATAAAGAGTTATAAAACAGATATCACCATTTATTCTACAGCAAAGAGTTTGAAAACATGTTTAAACGGATCCTTGTGACTCGAGTTGATACTAAATTTAAAGCTTTTGATAATGCTTTAAAAAAATTTTTTTTCAAAATAAAAGATATGAACGTTCAGTGCTATGACCAGATATGTAATAGGCTTCATATTATTACAACCAGTCTTTAGGGAGATTTGTTCCATTTCCATGGAAGTACTTCATTCCTTAGAACGCATACTAAACCTATGGGGATATTGGTTATAAAACCATTTATTCAATTGCTAAGTGTAGCAAGCACATAAAAATGGTCAAAAATTGTCTTTCTGTATACATTCAGGGACATAGAATAATTTAATATACAGAAAAAAATATTTGTTTTATAACATTACGCTGCTCAAAAGTTTAATGTATGTAACAGAAGCCCCCACTTTTGTATAGTTGTCTTTGGAACACTATGGCCATGTCACATCACACCAAATAAATTGACACTATATGGTTTGTGGAGAATCTTGGAGGTCAGCCTCCTTCCTTGGGACAATGAGCCTCTTTTGTTACCGAAACTGGACTCTATGGTCCTGTCCGCAGATACTATGAGCATCATATTTAAAATGGTTGGGACATTCCACTTTGTGTGGCTTTTTGTTCGTTAAAATGCCTTCAATGTCTTTTTGGTGGCTTCCTGTCCCATGCCCCATTGCTCTATTGCTCCAGGAAATACTTCCATATACATGCAAACCAACTTACCGGTCACTCCATTTGTCCCATTGTGTTGGAAGAAAAACATTTGCCAGTTGTTCCAAAAAAAAGGCTTCTGTGCCAGTTCAAACTGGCTATTTTACCACTTCCTTATTCTTCCTTGTGGTCCACTGTCCTCGTTATTGTCTGTCTCCACCCTTCCATGTTATGTATATTGTGCTCTATTTATAACCTGTGTTTTCCTCAATAAACCAATTGCTGTATTGTCCCATCTCCAAGACTTGTCTAGTGTTTGGGTAAGAGGTTGATATAGCTATTAGTCACTTTGACAAACATTCAGTGCTTGGTCAATGGCTATGAGGTTCTGTTGAAGAAATTCAGGTTGCGAGGCGAGCAGGACTGAGGTACTAGGTAGCAGCAATACATTCTGGGGATATATATCCAGTTAACTCACTTTACCTGCTTCTTCTTTTTTAGGGGGCGGGAGGGGAGCAGGGGGCGCCTAAGTATTCTTTGCCTATGGGCACCTGACATGTAATTCCAGCCTTGCATGCAGATCGGTACAAAATTTAATTTCCCACAACAGAACGAGTCTTCCCACAACAGAACGAGTCGGAGGAAATGATTGTGCAAGAATTTTCATGCAAACTCTGTTTCGCACTTAGTAAAAATTGAAAGTGAGCAAATCATTATTTGCTTGACTTGTTCTTGCAAAAACGAATGCATTGGAAGCTTCTATTATTATCCCACCTATGCCCTAGCAGAAGAATTGAAACGGTGTATTTAAGTATCAATTGTCAGGATCCAAACCTTAATTTCGGAACTTTATTCTTTTCATTCAATGTTGTACCTGCAGTATCTATGTTCTGCCACTAGTGGCCTCCATAACCACTAGGTCTGAACTTTTATTTGCTCAACCTCACCTGCCTGGGACTAAGTACAGATCCTACAAAAGGCTACACATTGCTCAATTCAGGGCCTGAAAAGACTTCTGTCCCTGGCTCCTGTGAACTTGCCATCTTGTTGAATACTAACCTTATCTACTCAACCAAACTTCTTATTCAAAGGTGAACTATACAACCAACCTTCTTTGCTACCAAGCTTCTTTATATCAACCTGAACAACTCTACAACCCAACCTTTGTTATCAACCTACATTATTACCAACTTGCTTCATATCAACCTGAACTATGTTATCAACCTGCTTTATGATACCAGCCTGCTTTATTCTAACCTGAACTACGCAACCAACCTGCTTTGATACCAACCTGCATTTTACCAACCTGAACTACGATACTAACTCATATTGCAAACAGTAATTTACCTGCTTTATCAGTGCTCCTTCCAACAGGGGGCTGATTCAATAAACTTCTATTTTATTTGCAATTCTGATATCTTTCCGTTCTGTTCTGATTTGCTTATCTTTCTATATACTTTCTACTATAGGTATTTGCTACTTTATATAATTCTGCTTGGTAATAACCTGTCTAGGGCATATTGCCTAAACCTATTATTTCACCTTCTTCCTACTTACCTATAATTCCACTTACAGTTTCACCTTCAACCTTAAATATAATTCCACTTATAGGTTCTCCTTCAACCTTACCTATAATTCCGCTTATAGGTTCTCCTTCAACCTTACCTATAATTCCACTTATAGGTTCTCCTTCAACCTTACCTATAATTCCGCTTATAGGTTCTCCTTCAACCTTACCTATAATTCCGCTTATAGGTTCTCCTTCAACCTTACCTATAATTCCGCTTATAGGTTCTCCTTCAACCTTACCTATAATTCCGCTTATAGGTTCTCCTTCAACCTTACCTATAATTCCGCTTATAGGTTCTCCTTCAACCTTACCTATAATTCTGCTTATAGGTTCTCCTTCAACCTTACCTATAATTCCGCTTATAGGTTCTCCTTCAGCCTTACCTATAATTCCGCTTATAGTTCTCCTTCAACCTTACCTATAATTCCGCTTATAGGTTCTCCTTCAGCCTTACCTATAATTCCACTTATAGATTCTCCTTCAACCTTACCTATAAGTCGGCATATAGGTTCTCCTTCAACCTTACCTATAATTCCGCTTATAGGTTCTCCTTCAACCTTACCTATAATTCCGCTTATAGGTTCTCCTTCAGCCTTACCTATAATTCCGCTTATAGGTTCTCCTTCAACCTTACCTATAAGTCGGCATATAGGTTCTCCTTCAACGTTACCTATAATTTTGCTTATTGGTTCCCCTTCAACCTTGCCTATAATTCCGCTTATAGGTTCTCCTTCAATGTTACCTATAATTCTGCTTATAGGTTCTCCTTCAACCTTACCTATAATTCCGCTTATAGGTTCTCCTTCAGCCTTACCTATAATTCCGCTAATAGGTTCTCCTTCAACCTTACCTATAATTCCGCTAATAGGTTCTCCTTCAACCTTACCTATAATTCCGCTAATAGGTTCTCCTTCAACCTTACCTATAATTCCGCTTATAGGTTCTCTTTCAACCTTACCTATAATTCCGCTAATAGGTTCTCCTTCAACCTTACCTATAATTCCGCTTATAGGTTCTCTTTCAACCTTGCCTATAATTCCACTTATAGATTCTCCTTATCTAAATATATATTGGTAACAACCTGTCTGGGGCATATTGTCTAAACCTATATTTCTATTATTTCACCTTCTTCCTACTTACCTATAATTCCAGTTATAGGTTCTCCTTCAGCCCTACCTATAGCTTATAGGTTCGCCTTCAACCTTATCTATAATTCCATTTTATAGGTCTTCCTGCTACCATTTGCCTAACTCTCTTTTCTGTTTTCCCTTCTTTACTTACCTCCTTCTTTGGCTTGCGAAGTATACCAATTGTGTGTAAATATATCTAAAGTCTCCAATAAACTATCAAACGTTAACCCTGGCACAAGTTTCTTACCTGACCTGCTCAATACCATGACATCGATACACACTCTGCATTCACTATAAACACACACTACATCCACTACACAAACACACACTCTGCATCTAATATACACTGTTCGATGTTCCAGCAAGATTGTATTGTTGCTTTTTATCCCATTTGAAAAAGCCCTAGTGGCGAAACGTGTTATGGTTATTTTAATTGTGTAATTTTCTTAATAAAAGGTTTTTTGGTTACAAGATTGTGCCAATCATCTTTTGAATTACACATTTTTATATTTGGAATTTTCTGTCTGGCCTACTTTTACCTGCTTTTATCTTAGTGTGACTCCGAGTATATCCTGAGGTGGGGATCATACTGCCCACGCTAATACCATAGTGCAGTTTGCCTGCACTCCACTTGTGAGTACAATTTTACTTATGTTTATTGCATTTTTATTTTACTGATTACTATTAGTTGTCTTTTATTTTTTCCCTCTCCGGAGTGTTGGACATCACCCCTCTGGAGGACTCCTATCACACATCCTCTAAGCAGGGATAATACCGCTGTACACTCTTCACATCCGAGATGGATATAGCTCTTTTAAATGTGAGTTGACCTTACTTATCCATTTATTTTATCTTCACTTGTCAGTACTAGAGTTGAGCGAACCCGAACTGTAAAGTTCGGGTTCGTACCGAAGATTACGATTTTTTGCCCCCGAACCCAGACATTTCAGTAACAGTTCGGGTTCGAGTTCGGTGTTCGGCTATTTAATGGCGCATTTTGAAAAGCTGCAGGGAAGCCAATCTGACTCGTGTGCCCTTAAAAGCCATCACAGCCATGCCTACTAATGGCATGGCTGTGATTGGCCAGTGCAGCATGTGACCCAGCCTCTATATAAGCTGGAGTCACATGAGCTCTTATTAAACATGTCTAGTAAACAGTGAGCAGCCAGTGGTTGCTCACTGTAACAAAAAACAAAAAAACCTATTGGCCCCCATCGCTGAAAGGTGGGTGGGGGCCTTAAAGTAAAATAAGGGGGGGACATATTGTCCTCCCCCCAGCCCCTACTCCAGCGCTCAGGGGTGGGGGCCCTAAATAACAATGTGCGGGGGGACCTACTGTCCTCCCCCCCGGCCCCCACCCCTGAGCGATGGGTGGGGACCCTAAACAAGAATGAGGGGGGGGGACCTTTCCCACACTGTGTAAAATGACACAGAGCACTCTGACTGGTTAGATTCCAAGTCCACCAATCAGAGTGTTATGAGTCAAAATACATAATGTGGGAAAATACCAAAGAACTTTCCCACGCTGTATAAAATGACACAGAGCACTCTGATTGGTTAGATTCCAAGCCCACCAATCAGAGTGTTATGAGTCAAATTACACAGCGTGGGAAAATTCCAAAGAACTTTCCCACCAACCAATCAGAGTGTTCTTAGCCTAATTGCAGGTCGGGCAAGGCTTTATAAGCCTTCCCCAACCCTGCAGAGCTCAGTCTGCGCGGAGCCCTGCATGGGTGAAGATGCATAATTTTTTTTAGCGCCGGGTTTTTTCCTTTTTCGTCAGGTTTTTTTTCGCGCGCGGATTTATTATTTTATTTTAAGTTCGACGGTTAATATGGTTTTTTATTTGGCCTTTTTTGGGGCTTAAAAATGAATATTTTAGAAGAAAGAAGACATCAAATGGTAAGTTTTATTTTTATTTACAGGTTAGTTATTTTATTCCCCCCCTCACTATTTTTAGGGTGAGGGGGGTAGGTAGGGGATACGTTTTATTTGGGTGGGGAGGTGACTAGGGGCTTGGGGACCCCTAGTCACCTTGGAAGGGGGGGGGGATTTTCATTTAGGGCCCTCACCCGCTGCTCAGGGGTGGAGGCCAGGGGAAGGACAGTAGGTCCATTCCCCTCATTGTTATGTAGGGCCCCCACCCACCGCGCAGGGGTGGGGGCCGGGGGTGAGGACAGTAGGCCCCCCTCATTCTTATTTAGGGCCCCCACCCACCGCTCAGGGGTGGGTGTTGGGGGGGAGGACAGTAGGTCCCCCCCTTATTGTTATGTAGGGCCCCCACCCGCCACGCAGGGGTGGTGGGGGGGGGACAGCAGGCCCCCCTCATTCTTATTTAGGTCCTCCACCCACCGCTCAGGGATGGGGGCCGGGGGGGAGGACAGTAGGTCCCCCCCCCAGGGCTGCCCTCAGAAATTTTGGGGCCCCTGACACAGCTCAAGGTCTGGGCCCCCCGTTGCCTGCACCCGAGTCTGCCCAAAGTGCTGCCCCCCCCGAGTCCACCCACAGGGATGCAGTGTCTGTACTGGTTCTGGTGTGTGTATAGTAGATGTAGAATTAATTGTCTTGTTTTATTCCCCCTCCCTGTATCTCACCTGTGGCCATGGAGGGGGGAGATCACATTGGCTGGAGCCCTGGAGCTGGAGGTCCTGTGGCATGGTGCAGCCTTCCTGCTACCTGTATTCTGCAGGCGGCCCAGCACACTTGAAATATACTGCCCCGATTCTCTGCTCTGTGGAATTCTGGCGAGCCATGCGGAGCGTTGCATCGCTCACGAGACTTCGACAGCGCAGAGCATCTGGGCAGTATATTTCAAGTGTGTTGGGCCCCCTGCAGAATACAGGTAGCAGGGGGCCCGCAGTGCACACATATATAGCGTTAATCGCTATATATGTGTGCACATAGCTAATGTGGGGCCCGGGATGCCCTGAGCAGTCCAGGCACCCCAGGACCGCCGGGCCCATGACGACCGTTATGGTTGTCATGCCCTGATGGCGGCCCTGCCCCCCCTCATTGTTATGTAGGGCCTGGGGGGTAGTCACTTGTTCTACTCTTACCCCCATTTTACTTCCTTTTGCAGCCCTATAGCCCTTTCCAGGACTTTTTAAGAGCTATTTTAGTGCCCAATAGTTCGGGTCCCCATTGACTTCAATGTGGTTCGGGGTCAAGTTCGAGTCAAGTTCGAGTCCCGAACTCGAACTTTTTGCCAAAGTTCAGCCGAACCCGGCGAACCCGAACATCCAGGTGTCCGCTCAAGTCAGTACATATTGCACCATTGGCTTTTCCATTCTTGTTTTGCATACGAGCAAGGACGCTGAACAATTTGAGCAACTGAGGACACTACACCCAAAAACCAGCACTCCATAAAGACATTTACCTCTCTGTGAGACTTTGTTTTTGGCTTTTATTTTATTTTTTGGTTATCTCATCTTTTGGTGATTTTATTAGAATTTTAGTCCCACTGAGTTAGTGAGACTATACTAATTATATTGTCTAAGGACTATTGTATATACTATTATCACTTTTATTATTAATACCTACCTCTCGGTGCAGCCCTTATTCTGTTTTTTGTTCCAATACTTCCTCACAGTTAAGATTCCGGACCAATTGTCCTTGAACAATGACCTCCCATTATATATTTGATCAGTTTATACTTTTGCTACAAAATAATTATGACGGGGAATACAATGCTGAAGCTATTGAATCCTTTCTGCTTGTCAACATTTAGTATTTTACTCCCAGCATTCCCTAGCTAAACCATGTGATTAGTCATGTAAAACAGCGCACGATGTATAGCCCTTAGAGAATATAGATTGAGTCAGTGCCAGAAAACACACAGTAATTCAGCTCATTTAATCTGATTAATAATGACACATGTAAATGATAACATAAATTTACTTCTTGACTTTCATCATTAGTGTGAATTAATTTATTTTGTCTGAATACGTACAATATAAGAAAACCTGATGCGTTACATATTCAATATATAATATAGTAAAATGGTTGTCAGTTCGATAAATATTTATTGCTGAAATGATTTTCTTTTTGTTTTACCCTTGAAGAGTAATTTATTAACAGTGATTACCATTTGAATTTATTGCAATTTTGCTTTAGCAAGATGTAGATTTCGAGGTTAAAGCTATGTAACCTTACATATGGATTATAATGTATACATCTATTATTTAGAATTTACATTTATTATAACAGGATTATGCTATTCTATATTGTTGAGAAATAGCAGGAAAAATAAGCTACAACAGGATATTGAATTTAATTAAAATAAATCAAATGTATAGGTTCAAATGTATAAAATAACATATAATGATGTCGCTTTAAAAAAAAAAAAAGAGAAACGTTTTTTAACACACCTCACTCATCGCTATGTTTCTGTATATTAAAAAAAAAAAAGATAATACATTATATCCTCTTTTGTGTTGAATTTGACACATAGAATTTCAAGTACAGTTCACAGTTTGGGTTTAATTTTAGTGTACATGTGTTCAATTATAGATCTGTAGTAAATATATCCTAATCGGTGTAAAAGTGATATACCACATACAATAGTGAATGTCACACTTTTAGAACTAAATATAACATTAGGTATGTCATCCCTGCTGCTTGTCATGCCAAAAACAATAATTTCATGCACAAAAGGTTTATCATGATAGATCCTAGCCCATAATCATTTGCCAAGCGATGAGGACACTGATAGGTTGAACGGTTGTAAAAGAGAACTTAAATATCATATAATTCAGTGATTTAAAAAAAAAAAATACAGATAATATATATTTGTATAAAAATATATATATAGAACAGGCTCACACAATATTTGAAGACTACTTCCCTCACGATATAATAGCTCAAGAACATAAAAAAAATCAAATGAGCAAACAAACACAGTAAGAAAAATAATATTACAGCCAGCTAACATGGCTTGAGAACATGTTTAAAGGAACACTGTAGCATTAGGAATA